ACCCCACTGTACGGGGTCTGGGTTATTTAGGACAAAGTCGGCGGGGGGGGGGGATGGATGGACTCATCTGCATCAGGGCCAGGAATGGGACAGAGGAGTCACACACAGACCTGCATGCTCAGGAGAGTTTATTCTTGGAGTGGGCTGCAGCCATTGAGGGGAAGGGAGGGAAGGGGCAGGAGTGTAACTCGAACAGAGACGCTTGGGGGAAGAGAGTTTGCAGCTGGGGAAGAGAGATCTGGTCTCTCAGGGAGGGAGGGGACTGGCCCTTGAAGCAGCAAAAGCATCGGAAAGTCTGGGTCGTTGTCTGATCACCGCCAAGGAGCCCAGTTCTTTTGCATCCCAGGCGCTGAGCTCCCACGTCAGGCGCAGGCGAGTGACTCCCCTCGCTAGCGTCGATACTTGCAAACGAAGGGGTTTCGATTGTTACAGTTAGCATCGTTCCATTCCTTAAAACCTAGAAGGTAAAACAGAAATCACTGGGGCGGGGGAAGGGCAAGTGGGGCCATTCCTGCCCTTAAAGTGACCTCCCCCTCATTGCACCCTGCTGAGAGAAGACCCCAGCTCCTGGGCATGAGGCTGTGAGGATGAGGAGGCTGGAGACGAAGGCCTGAGGGATGCTGTGTCCATGCACACATTGACAGACAGTCCCTAACCCAGAGAGAGCACGTCTAAATAGACAAGAGGTGGGAAGGGAAACTGAGGCCCAGAGTGGGGAAGTGACTTGCCCAAGGTCACTCAGCAGCTCAGTAGCAGGGCTGGGAACAGAAGCCAGGTCTCTGGAATCACAGTCCCATAGCTAGCCACTAGGCCACACTGCCTCTCGATCTGCGACTGCTGTTACCTCCCATCCCCCGAACACCCCTCAAAAGGCCACAAAGGAGAGCACAAGAGCCCTGGCTACATGCCAGAGGAGAGACAAGCTCAGGAAGAGGGAAGCCAGCTCACTCTGTGCTGAATGAGCCGGCCCTACCGCCATCTCCTACACATCTGGGTATGAGCATGGCCCAGAGGCAGCACTAAGGATTCTGGTTGATGGATTGTTGTGAATTTCACCCTCTCTCTGTGATGCTTTATACCTCGGGAGAACACCAAGCACCCCCATGTTCATCCTTGTAAAATGATTGCGTGGTATCCAATGCAAAGCTTGTCATGTTGGGTGTCTTCGAAAAGTTCATGATGGAATGAGCATTGTTGCTACAGTAATGTTATAGGCTATAATTTAATATTTGTAGTTATGAGGCTAAAAATGTATCTTCATTGCTTAAAATCAGCTCTGGGAAAAACTCTCCAGGAGCAGAGGGGCAGTTCACACCTCATCAGGCAGGTATGGGACAAACCTGTCCCAGCTTTGCAGGAACAAAGGACACTGGCCTAGGCAGCATTAAAGGATCTGTTGTACTCTTGAGTGAGTCACCCCCTTTCCCTTCCTTTGGTGAGTTTGGGACTGCAATGAGATAAGGCTCACCTGACTCGGGGGTGGGGGAGTGGCAAAGCCAAGAGGGAAGAAAGAACATGATAAAAGGGAGAGATGTTTGCCATGTTCTTCCTCTCTCTTCCACCTCCATCTACAGACATCACCACCAAGCGACTGAAGCGCTGATCAAAGGGGAGAGCCTGGCTGAAGGGCAACCAGGCAGCCTGTGGTGAGAAGCATCTAAGTTTGTAAGGGCACTGAAAGTGTTAAGATCAGCTTAGAATGCGTTTTCTTTTATTTCATTTGACCAAATCTGACTTGTTGTGCTTTGACTTATAATCACTTAAAATCTA